CACTACAGAAGTAGATTGCCCAACCTTTCTTCTGAGGAGTGGCTGGTGGGTTTGAAACTCCAGCCTTCTGGTTAGCAGTCAAATGCCTTAGGCACTACGCCACACCTCATAATGAAGGTTAAAGATAGGAGATTTCAGAAGGGAAAAACAACCTATTGAAATGAACCAAATGTTAATTCTAGACTTGAAAAGCACAATATCTGAATTGAAAAATTCACTGGATATTCTTAAAAACAGACTGCAGATGACAGACGAGTCACAAGCCAGAAGGTAGACCAATAGAAACAAAGCTCTGGTGGGGCAGCTGTTCAGGCACTGGGCTGCTAACCAAAGCGTGGGCAGGCTGAACCCCCCAGCTGCTCCGTGGGAGAAAGATGTGGCAGTCAGCTTCCATGAAGATTTACAGCCTTGGAAACACTATGGTTTCCTCCGTCCTCTAGGGGTATCGTGAGTTGGAATCCACTCCATGGCAGTGGGTTTGGTTTGGGTAGTCTGATAAACCAAAAAAAAAAAAAAAAAAAAGAGTCAAAAGACCAACAATTCTGGAAGCTGTAGGACAATATAAAAACACTTCACGTCTGTGTATTTAGCATCCCAAGAGAGGAAGGAATAGTGGAGAAAAACTACTTGGAAAAATAATGGCTGAAATTTTTCAAAACTTGGTGAGTGACATTGTCTACACATCCAAGGAGGTCAATAAATTCCCAGGCAAATAAATATGAAGAAAAGCAACATCTAAATCCTTTGCAGTCAAACTACTGAAAACAGTGGTTCAGAAAGCACTACATCTAGGGGCACATTGAGAAGAAATCCCACTCATCAGCAACAATGCAATGAACAATGGACGACATCGTTCAATCCCAAACGCCAAATCTAGGGAAAATATCCTTCAAGAATGCAGCTGAAATGAGACCATTGTGACACACATTGAAGCTGAGAGAATTCATAAAGACTTGCACTAAAAGAAATGCTAAAGTAAGTCCTTCAATCTGAAGAAAAATGAAGCTAGAGAGAAACTTTAAATTTTAGGTAGGAACGAAGAACATCGGTAAACACATATATATAATAATTTGATCTTAACTTCTGTGTAATACTTATGTGTCATGGTGTCTCTACCAAAAAAGAAAAGAAAATCAAACTTACTGCCCCCGAGTCGGATCCGACTCAGGGAGACTCCTGTTTGGGTTTCCAAAGCGGTATCACTAAGGAAGTAGATTCCCCAACCTTCCTTATGACTTTAATTAAAACTAACAGTGTATTTTAGACTTTGTAGAGACTCCATGACAACCCTGTGCTCCTCCCTTACTCTCTGGCCCCGCCCCTCACAGAGCCTCCCGGCGGCCCCACCTCCTCGCCGTGGCTTCTGGGAAAACCGGGAAAGCCACGCGGCACGTGCGCAGAGCTTGTCGGGAGACACGCGGCTGAGGCGGCGGCTGAGGCGCGTGTTTCTGACCTTTTTGAGCCGGAGCCTGAGACGACCGCGGCCTGAGGCGGCATTTGTCGGGCTT